AAAAAAGAGGTAGTTTTGTATTTTCTACAAATAATATAAGAAACAACAATGTAAGAATAATATAAGAAAAACTGAGAAGTCCATGGTTAAAAATCAGGCGTCATGATAAAACCTGGTCACCGTGTGCTTGTGTGGCTGTTTTTTATGAGCAGCTCCACTTCTTTTTTCACTTACTGAAACATGACTCATCAAGATTGTACGCTGAATCAAACCAAAGAAAAAAAACAAACAAACAAACAAAAGGCTACTGTTTAAAATCAGAGACACAATGTTTGAACCTATGCTGTGTCAGAATGTTTAGTCTTTACACAGTAGGATCTGCTGAAGTTAGCTGCAAGTGCAAAAAAAATGTTTTTATCTTGTTTGATTCTGCTGATTCTCCCCCTTGTGGACGTGGGTGGAACAGATACTGCTAGATAGCACTTTATGAATCCCTCGGGAGTTCCCTGCATACAGCACCAAAACAACAGTAAAAAAAAAAACGTAGGTAATTATTGTTGCCGTGTATATTATTATATTTCAATTATACCATTGTTAACCATTGTTATATATATGTATATATTTGTATGTACGTACACTAAGTGTACCATATTATCTCTATGGTATGGTATGGTATGCAACCGTTTGCGGCAGATTTTCTTTTCACATTACTTTCACATTCAAGTCACACTATTGGGCGAAACACAGGCATTGCGTTATTATTTTTTGGAAAAAAATATTTTTTGGAAAAAAAAAACACTAACAATCATTTCCGATATTACCTACATTTGCTAAAATCGGTAAAAATAATATAATAGTTGGCCAATATTAAAGGACATCCCTAGAAATGATAACGATACACATACACCATTTATTTTATAAATTATGTATATGTACATTATGTACGTTTCCAGTGTTGAAACGTGTGTACTTTTTGTTGAAACTGCTTCCACCCATTCTCTCTCTACAGTCATGTACCTGGTGACGTACGGTGTGGTTTTATTTGTATTGAGTCATTATGTTGGGACAACTGTCCACCTCCATTATCATTATTACTATTGTATTGTTATAACTATTTTATCGCTGCTATTTAATAATATTCACTAATAATATATATTTATATTATACATTTTTAGTGTTATGTTTTTAGTGTTGAAAGTTTTAGTAACCCGCACCATACATGTCAAACGTTTTACGTCATTTTCTTACGTTCTACATCCTATTTTAGTATAATTCTTTGCACGTTGAGCGGAAAGATACTTTTACGTAGTAGTTGTAGTACGTAGTTCGTTAATATTTTAGAAACAATATCAATATTATTGCGCTCGACAAACGTACTTCATAATGTTGTGTTCAATACATCGTTCGTTTGACTGTATACATATATACATTGTATTCACGTCTGAAGCGGCTTTATTTGCATACAGTGTGTTTGTGTATGTGTCAAGAGTGGTCACGTGGCCTAAAGATGAGAGTCCCTCAGGCCCCTCCTCCCTCTGCTGACGTCAGCAGCAGCAGCTCCACTGCTCTTCTGCGGGAGTCACACGAGAACGAGGAGGAGAAGAGGTGAGGAGATCCTGCGGGTAAGAAATTCTGCTCTTACTCCTACCGTTACTCCTTCCGTGCTGTTGCTCCTCCTGTGTCTGTTCGTCCTCCGGCTCCGCTAACGATGTCGATAAAGTGTGAGAGTCTCAGCAGCTGTCGACGACTCTTACCCTGAAGACGAAAAAAAAAAAAAAAAAAAAAAAAAGAAAAAAAAGCAGCAACTTTTCCCGCTGCTGCTTTTTTTTTTAGGAGAGGAGACATGTACACAGATAGGGAGAAGTAGAGAGAGGAAACATGTCCATAGGGAGGTAGAGGAAAAGAGGAGACATGTCCAAAAAGAGGGAGAACGAGAGAGAGGAAACGTGTCCACAGGCAGGTAGAGATAAGAGGTATGTCCATATAGCTTTAGAGAGGAGACATGTCCACAGAGCGAGTAAGATGGATAAAGAGAGAGAGAGAGAAACACTAACTACTGCTGTCTCCTCTGTCTATGTTTGGACATGTTTGCAGTTACCTCTCCCTCTTTCTTGCTCTGTCTGTTGAACGTGTTTTTTCTCTCTCTCTCTCTCTCTCTCTCTGTGGCTCTGTTGGACATTGTTTCTCTGGGCACCAGCACTTTTTGTTGAAACTGTTTCCATCCTGTCTCTCCCTGTAGTCATGCATCTGGTGATGTACAGGGACATCGATTTTTTTTTTTTTTACATTTGGACACGTGAAACACGTCTGTGGATACGTTTGCGGAGACAGGTATTTATCTCCTAAAATAGGCAAGTTGGACAACTGTCCATGTTGAATATGTGTGCTCTCTTAACGGGGTGTGAAGCGGTGATGTGCCTTTTTTTGCATGTGTCTCTCTTAGGGATCGTGGGTGGATACCGTGGACACTTTGTACACGTGGATGCTTTCTCGTTTTCTTCTTATGTCGTTGGACATGACTATAGATACATAGTCATTTTTTTCCCCCCCAGTTTTTTTGGACTTTGATCTTGCGGTGGTCAGTCAGTGAAATGTATAGTATGTGGACTTAAGTATACATGTCCTCAATCAGTGTTGGACACAGTCTCTGTGTTGAAATATTTAACTTTCACTTCAGAGAGAGAGTGTGTGTGTGTGTGTGTGTGTCTGTGCATTTACATACATGTATGTCCCCCCCTTTCTGTCTTGCTCGTTTTCCTGTTGCCATGGTGTTTAACAACACAATCCTCTTATATTCAGTCAGTCACTGCAGCCACAGACTGCAGTATTGGCTAGTATTGGCATCAGTGCATTCACAATAAACATCACGAGGATGCACTGATGCCAATACTGCTACTTGTGTTTGTCCCGATACTTTCATTCGAATACTTAGTCAGTAGTCATAAATGTTCAAAATCCACCGACACGATGCTTTGTAACAGCGTTTCACCACAACCAGCTGCGCTCCGCTCAGCCAGTGAATTTCCTCCTACGGTTCAGTGTCTCATTGTCCTCAGGCGGTTTATTTAAGTAGATCAACAATGTTAGCAGTTTTCCCGGAATTTGAACAAAGACTTACTGTAACAATTGTTCTGTTACGACAAAAGCTATTTCATCTGTTGATTTGTTTATCGAAACACGAATCGCACTATACTGTTAAAGTGGAACTAACTTTGGTTTACTGCAGATGAGTATTGTATTTTCCGCACTATAAGTAGCTCGGGAGAATAAGTCCCATAAGTACCAGCCAGCTAAAGTGCCCTCTAGTGGCCGACAGTGTGAAAATAA